TACGTCTGTCCATTCCAAGTAAAGCCTCTTTGAGTGTTGGAAGTTACACACCTTTGCACACATTGAATTGATGTTTGTTTTGCTTTCCCATGAGATTGCTGCTATCTTGTACATAATGTGCCTGCCAGTGTCCTGTGTGCCCTTGAACAACTCACTTCACCCCTCTGAACTTCAGTTGCCCCACTTGCAAAGAAAATAATGCCAAAACCCATGTAATTGTTTCAGAGAATGAAATAAGATAGAGTATGGACTTGCTGTGTGAGGTCCACGGCACCTTGAAAATGTAGGGCAGGGACTCCTGGATGGCTCAGTCAGTTAAGCCTCTGACTTTGGCTCAGGTTATGATCTCACGGTTTGTGGGTTCGAGCCCCGCTTCGGGCTCTGTGGTGACAGCTCGGAGCCTGGAGCCTGCTTCGGATTCTGTGTGTGTGTATCTCTCTCTCTCTGCCCCTCCCCTAGTCATGCTCTCTCTCTCTCTGTCTCTCAAAAATGAATAAAAAGTTTCAAAAAATTAAATAAAATATAGGGCATGACAGATTAGATTTCTTCTGTGTTACTTTCAAAAATACCAGTAGACCCAACTTTATCATTCTCATGTTCAGTAAGTCAGTACTAATATAATCTAACTGAATCTAAATTGTAACATTATACATAGCCCCATGAAACTCCATGAAAGTTATTTTTGCTCTTTATGAAAAAGGACATATGTCTTTAAATGCTATTTTTCCTCATTTGTTTCTCATGCAAAAAAAAAAAAAAATATTGTCCACCACTGAATTAAATAAAAAAATTTCAACTGCCCTGCACAATGTTCTGCATCTTATGGGCATGTAATCATAATAATAGTGGTATGCTCCTTTTCTAAATTTGGTGGGAACATCAGGTTATGCTGACCTTCCAGAATAACAGCCCTTTGGAGTAAAGACCAGTCACCTGGCATAAAACAGGAATATCCCTAATGTGTTTGCAGTAGATAGGTACCTTGAACATTAAGACACGCTTCCAATGCCTGGGGTGAGAAGAAACCCTAGGGGCAGGTGAAAGCAGAGAAATGGAGATATTTTGAATATCATTCATCCGCCTCAGGATGTATCCCAAAAAGATTACACTCCATCCAATATCCTGGATCTGGACAAACAATGTAGGCTATTCAATGGCCCTTTGTGATTGCTGCCTCTTTCAGCAACAATCTTCCTTAATAACAGCTTCATACATCTCACTAAACACCTGATCTCTTCCAAAGCTATCAGAATAAGTGTTTGTGTATCACTAAATAGACAAATTTCCCAGTAGAAAACTATACGACTTGTCTCTAATAACCATGTAGAGGGAGTGTGTGTGTGTGTGTGTGTGTGTGTGTGTGTCTATAGGGGCGTCTGGCAGATGCCCAGAGAGATAGACCAGAATTGCTAGCATGGGTCTTTCCAACCTAGTTTTATAAGGTTTAGACAGCTTGTCTGACTGTAGGTCTAATTTTGTAAAACAGAATTGATTTGCAAAAATCTGGGCCAGGAGAGGGCACACCTGGGAAATGGCTGTGAACTAAGAACAAGGAAGGGGGCAGATGCTGAGGTATACTGCAAGTTACAGAAAAATGGAGGGTCCAGAACAACCAGAGCTTAGACCCTGATGGGAGCCATTGAGCTCATCAGAGCCAAATGGGAACCAAGTGTCAGCATTGATCTTGGGCCATAAAAGAAGTTCGTGTGGAAAATCAAAGGTTTGCCGAGAAGATCTGGTTAGTGCCTTAAATCTGAAATTAAACTAAGTGACTGGATTGTTGCTATAATTCCTTTGTTCCAATTATTCCAAACTCCAGTTCACTCTTTCAGGAGTTCTCCTGCATGCTAAACTGATAAGAAAGGAGATTGAATGATCACTTATGCGAGTGTTCTCAAACCTGGTTCTATTAGAGACTATAGAAAACCTGATGCCGAGCCCTCGCTCCAGGCCAAATGAATCAGAATCTTTGAGTGAGGGATCCAGGAGGTTTTTTTTTTTTTAAGTTTTTAAACTTAAAAAAAAAGTTTTTAAAAGCTTTCTAGGTAATTCTAATGCACAGCCAGTGTTGGGAACCACTGACTTAGGCTAAAATGGGCAAGAGATACCCAGGGAAGCCAGAGAAAGAGTTGTGATTGAGAGGTCGTCATTTCTGGGCATAACCTCTGACAAGGAAAGCATTCTCATGTTCATGCTTGGATAGTACTAGAATAGAAAGGCACCAGAGGATATGATGGGCATCTCACAGGGTTGGCAAAGATGAGTTCAACCTGTGATTACAAGCCAGAAAACAAAATTTTGCATGCCCCAAAACATAACCCAAACCAGACAAGCTGGTAGATGAATAGTATATTTCATGAAGTATCAAGGATTTCAGAAGAGAAACTCACTCAAAGTAGCTCAAGATTAGGAAGGTTTGTAGTAGAGACACAAATGTCAATTTCAAGACATCTAGGGATCCAGACTCCCAGAGTCAGGAACTAGACAATGACTAAAGTCATCCCCTCCATCTCTCAGTCATTTGATCTTCATTTCTGTTCCTTTCTACACATCTGCTTTATTCTTTCATTGCACCTGGATTCCTCCAATTACTCATATCACACAAGGCTCAACATGAGTGCTCCAGCTCTAATCTGTTATGATCTCTTAGGTCCAGAGCCCAACACTGACTGACGACTGTCACAAAGTATCTTGGTTCAAATTTTCAAGAAGAGGAATCTGGCCACTGGCCCAGCAAAGGATGGCTGGTCTTATCTCACCTTGGGTCAGGTGTCAATCTCCTCCCATAAAACTAGGCTGAGAGTGGAAAATGTCATCTTGTTCATAGGCTGAACAGACTACTGGAAGGGCAGATACTTGCGAGGATCTGTTGGCAGAGTATATAATGAAGTACATGTAATATTCATTACCAACGAACCACACACTTTTCTTCTTTCCCATCTTCTGCTTCCCAGGAGATGGACAGGCATGAGGGAGATAAGGAGGAGCCTGAAAGAACATGTTCTGTCTACTTTCAATGTTCAGCCTAGCAAATGAGAGAAATAAACACAGACTGGCATGACCAAAAAGTAGCCTATGAACCCTCAACCAGCATTTATGTACATAATTCTACATGGGCTATCTTCCTCCTGAAACCACCAGAAAGTCCACTCTTGGCAATGATGAGCGCCTGAGGGTGTCCAAAACACAGGATCTCTGTTCAAGTTCAATCTCACACTTTCTGCTGCATTATGACATTCAGACGTTAAGAATTCCCCTCCTTTATTGGGCCTTTATCTAATAGTTTGGAAAATTTTGTAATTAACATGTTATTACATGTGGTTTGGCAGTTCATTTGACAGCTCTGAAATAACATTCTTGGCTTTTACGTGAGAATCTTTTATTGAAACCCAAAATAGCTCTTTTCGGAAACTTAGAACTTCAGGCAATTTGGGGATTCGTGGAAACGGTGGCTGGAAAATTTTATAAACTTCCCCAAAGGAGAAAATGTGTATAAACTCATTCTGTGGTCCAACATTGGCTATTCCAGCAAAGAACTGAATGGTCCTATAGCTGTCCTTCTTTCCTCTACTTAAGTTCAGCTGCATTAAGGCAGAATGTCCAAGAGGAATCTGGACTCGGGCACTATGTTTAAAGGAAAAAAGCCAGAGTAAAAATCTACCTCCCACCCCAGCCTATAGACAGTCTGAATTTTGTTTTATTTTGTTTTTTCCTTGTAGAGCTCATGGGGCTAGAGGCAAAGTGAAGCCAGGAAAGGGAAGAAGATACACAGGGAAAAGTAGGGGAAGCACCAATAACAAACATCGATTTTCACTTTGCCCAAAGCATGTGGTCCCTGAAAAGCATGGCTATGACCTCAGTATAATGCCATCATGCCAAAGTGCAATCGTTTATTTTAGAGCTTTAGAAGGAGTCAATTATTTCAGCTTTTGCCTAAGTACAACTATTGGAGATTCTGGCTGATTGAATAAAAGAAGAAGTCTACTACTTGTATTTTACTGACAAAACAAAGCACCTTTAAACTAACAGGATGATTTATCTGGGCTGAAAATAAAACTCCTGCCTACTGAAGTCTGGTGCAGCTGAATTATCACTATTTTCATCCTGTAATTTGTTTTATAGGGTACTAATTAACAGGGCAAAGTCTGTTGCCAGGAAAGTAAATCACATTTTGCTGTTTTCTTCTTTTCTAACAAGACACAGACCTGGTATTTAATTGAAGAGCAAGTTCCAAGGGCACTATCAGCACTGAAACTGGGGAACACTGGGCTGGGAAAGCATGGTGAAACCTGCTGTGTAGAGTACAGGAAAGACGGCAGGAGAGAGAGGAAAGAACAGAGGGAGAGAGAATGGAATTGCACAGGTAACTTCAAAAAAAAAACAAAACCCTGTTTTCCCTCAAATGTTCCATCTTTTCTCTGTTTCCCACAACTTTCCATTTCCCCTCTGGCTCTACTCAACTGACACTGTACCACAAACATCTTCTCAAAAAGCTCATCGCCCGCCCTACCCCCACCCCCAGTTCATTCATTCCTGTCCCCAACACAGTACTGTATTTTTTTTTTTAAAGTAGCAACTCTGCCATTAGATCTCCCTGCCCCAACCTCCTCCCTCTCCAGGGCTCATACTTCGACCTGACCCTCTTGGTGACCTTTGGCCCAAGGCTTTGCAGCCCGGCCTTGCAGCTCACACCTCGCCCCTCTCCTCCCAGCTCACCCTCCCTACCCCCAGACTTCACCCCTCTCTTCCTCTCCTCGTTCCCTCATCCCATTCCTGGAGGTTCTGGACAAGAGGTGGCCGCTCCGTCTTCTCCTCCCTCCTTGAACCTTCGGAGACGTACTTTGGGGGAGGAGAGACGGAGCTGGAGTACTGATGGGCGGTGGAGGGGAATGAGTGCCGGCTCGCACTCAGGAGCCGGGAGCCTGACGTCACCGCTCCCTGCCAGTCAGTCTTCCGCGGGCGCGCTGCTCGTAGCCGCCTTTTCTGCCTCTAACCGTGTCTCTCACTTTCGGCGGCGCCGGCACAGAGACAGGCGCCCCGCGCTCTGCTCCGCGCGGGCCCGGCCGCCCCGCAGGCGTAGAGTCTGTCCGCGCGGGGAGCGCAGCCTGCGCCCCGCCACAGCGCTCATGATCAGCGACTTCCTGAGGCCCTGACTCCCCAGGTGAGCACCCGACACCCGAGAGGAACTTTGAGGGTGTTGAAAAGGGAAGGGGTGAAGGATGGCCAGGGGGCTTCCCTGAAGCAGAAGAAATAGGGCCACGCTTGACTCCACACCCTTCCCCTACACAAACCCCCAGCTTCCCTCCCCCAAACCCCTTTCCCAGGGATCTCTGTGGCCTTCAGGGCCCGCTGGACTCCGCGACCTCTGAAACTTCGCTTTCAGCACCGCGGACAGCGACTCCGCCACCTAGTTTAGGAAAAAGCCTAACCCGGTCGGCCAGAGCCCAGGGCAGGACTCGCCAGGGCTGATGCCCCTACCTAGCCAGGTGCAAACGGGTGCCTGTTGCAGTTATGGGCACACTTACGGGACTGATCTGTGTGTATGCAAGCGCATGTTCTCTGTGTGTATATATATATATCTGTGCAAAAACTCAGATATCCGTGGAGCAGTCGTGTGCGTTTCACTCACACGCTCACTCCGTACTCAACAGGTATTTATTAATTTTAGGTTCTCAGCCACTGCTTCCTTGCTCTGCTCTGGGGTCCTGGGGTAGGATGAGCAATATGAGCGAGGCACCCGCGCCCGGGGAAAGTTCCCTGGCGGCGTGAACCACACACCTGACGCTCGCTCTCCCTTTTCCACGCAGGGGTGCAGCGTCAGCCAGCGATGAACGCGAGCGCTTCCTCGCTCAACGACTCCCAGGTGGTGGCAGTGACCACCGAGGGAGCGGCGGCGGCGGCCACAGCGGCAGGGGCGCGGGACAGCGGCGAATGGGGGCCCCCTGCAGCGGCGGCGCTGGGAGGCGGCGGCGCGGCTAACGCGTCCCTCGAGCTGTCTTCTCAGCTGCCCGCGGGGCCGCCGGGGCTGCTACTGTCGGCGGTGAATCCTTGGGACGTGCTCCTGTGCGTGTCGGGGACGGTGATCGCAGGCGAAAACGCGCTGGTAGTGGCGCTAATCGCGTCCACCCCGGCGCTGCGCACGCCCATGTTCGTGCTGGTGGGAAGCCTAGCCACCGCCGACCTGCTGGCGGGCTGCGGCTTGATCCTTCACTTCGTGTTCCAGTACGTGGTGCCCTCAGAAACGGTGAGCCTGCTCACGGTGGGCTTCCTCGTGGCCTCCTTCGCTGCCTCGGTCAGCAGCCTGCTGGCCATCACAGTGGACCGCTACCTGTCTCTCTACAACGCACTCACCTACTACTCGCGCCGGACCCTGTTGGGCGTGCACCTGCTGCTCGCTGCCACCTGGACGATGTCCCTAGGCCTCGGGTTGCTGCCGGTGCTCGGCTGGAACTGCCTAGCGGAGCGCTCCACCTGCAGCGTGGTGCGCCCGCTGACGCGCAGCCACGTGGCGCTGCTGTCCGCCGCGTTCTTTGCGGTCTTTGGTATCATGCTGCACCTGTACGTGCGCATCTGCCAGGTGGTCTGGCGCCACGCTCACCAGATCGCGCTGCAGCAGCACTGCCTGGCGCCGCCCCACCTCGCAGCCACCAGAAAGGGCGTGGGTACGCTGGCTGTGGTGCTGGGCACTTTTGGCGCCAGTTGGCTGCCCTTCGCCATCTATTGCGTTGTAGGCAGCCGCGAGGACCCGGCAGTCTACACCTACGCCACCCTGCTGCCCGCCACCTACAACTCCATGATCAATCCTATCATCTATGCCTTCCGCAACCAGGAGATTCAGCGTGCCCTGTGGCTCCTGTTCTGTGGCTGTTTCCAGTCCAAAGTGCCCTTCCGTTCTAGGTCCCCCAGTGAGGTCTGAAGGTTTTCTTTGTCCTCCCACCAACACCACGCCCCCAACAAGCCAGCCTTCCGTGAACTTCTCGGTGCCTGCTGATGAACGGAGACACCAATAGTGTGAATCTGGCTTTGGGAAGAGAAAGAAAGAATAAACATAAATACATCAAACTCACAAAGGACAAAGAGGCTCGTTGGCACTTTACATATACAGTGTATACATGTGTACATATATATACAAATATTTGTATCTTCTGGAGGTGTTCAGGATGTGGAACTTCCTGTTCTGTGAAAAAACTAAGATGTGGTTGTATACTCAAATTGTACATCACATTTGTCAAGTGAAGACATCCCAATACTGCTTAATTATAGCACTTTATTTTTAGCTGCTGAACTGCCAAAACAGTGTTGCCATTTTCAGGGGCAGGGGAAGGAAAGTAAAAGGTGTATTTTTGTTGTATGTGATAGAATATTTTGCTGCACATGTGTCAGTAAATTACAACGTATTTTGTACACAAATAAACACATAATAAAAATGTAATTTGGGGCATGTGACTATCAAATTACTATTTAAGAGCTGAATTATTAGTACATTTACTTAAAAAGTTTATTATGTATCATCTCCCTCCTATGAAATCTTAATGTACAAAATCATGCATTTGCACATTGTTCATAAATTGTCAGAGATACCTAACACAGATTTGCAGTGGGAGGCTGAGAGGGAATAATATATTCACATAGCAGTATTCATAGGACACTAAAGGGTTATTGGTGTTATCTGTGCAAATTAATCTGCCCCTTGGTTTCTGCGTTTGGAAGACAAACTCCAGAGAATGTCTGAAACCATACCTTCCTCTTACCATATGTGCAATTCTGAAACCCTAACTTTTAGTTGTAGCTTTTCCAAACTGGAAAGAATTTTAAATGTTTAAAATTCATATTGACTGAGAATATTTTTGCTGGCCAGTTCTTGTAGCAAAATTCACAGCCTTATGAAATAAATTCTTCAAAGACAGGATTCCAAGATACATTGCTCATGAGGTAAGTGAAGGTATGCTCAGCAGCCTTATCTTCAAAACACAGGGCATTAAGATTCCCGGGGACCAAACATTCCCATTCCACCAATGGATATGAGTCATAATTAAATGGCCCCTCCCCTCCTTCTTAAAAGATGATGTGAGTTTAAAGAAGATAACACATATGGACATTTTGAGCATCTATGAAGAAATATGCACACAAGCACAAGTTGTTACTGGTCTTAGGCCTTAGGAAAATACCACAAACGAATTTTTTCATACAGTCCACGCGTATTTATTGAGTGCCTACTATTTGCTAGACACAATTCCAGGGCTTGGAATACAGAAGTGAACAAAGTAGACAAAAAGTTTCAGTGCTCATAGTGTTACATTCTCATGGAGGAGATGGCCTACAAGCAAATAAACACACACACACACACACACACACACAGATATTTATTATAAAGAATTGGTTCATCAATGCAATTTTGGAGACTGAGAGGTCCCAAGATGTGTAGTCAGAAAGCTGGAGACACAAGAAAGCTGATGGTATTGTTCCAGTCTGTTTTGAAAGGCCTGAGAACCAAGAGAGCCTATGGGCTCAAGATCCAAGAAAAACTGATGTTTTAATTTGAGACCAAAGGCAAGAAAAGACCAGTGTTTGAGCTCTATACATTAGGCAACAGAAATTCCCTCTTACTTTAGCTCATCATTCTTTTCTGCCTTCAATTGATTAGATGACACCTAAGACCTACCTACATTAGGGGATGCAATCTGTTTACTCAGCCTACCAAATCAAATGTTAATCCCAAACAGAAACAACTCAGAATAAGGCTGGACCAAATGTCTGCACATCCTGTGGTCTAGTCAAGTTGACACATAAAATTAACTATTACAACAAGAAAGCACAATGATACAAAATAAAGAAGGAAAAGCATTTATTGAGGAAGTAGTCAACTGTGTCAATGTTGCTGTGAGACTAAGGAAAATGAGGATTAAAAACAATGACTATTTTTTTCATGTCAATATCATTGGTGAACTTGACAAGAGAAACTTCTGGAGAGTAAAAGGGAAAAGTAGCTTAACTATAAAAGATACAAGAGAAAATGCATGGGCAACCTAGTCTCCAACATCTTGCAACAGAAGTATGACCTTTTTAACACTATAAAACATAATATGTTTTATAGGCAAATGGTTTTATAGTGTCTGTAAATTTAGAGCCAGGAAGATTAGTGTTATGGCTCATTCATCAAATTAACATTTTATAAAGAACTAACTTTCATAGACTATTCAGCATCATCAGACACTTTCAGGCCCTATCAGTATCCACAATGCATTCAAGCAGACTGAAATAACAAAAGCTCTGGCTGCAAACGTTTCCAAACATGTGGTGGAGAAAAAAAATAGAATTTTAGAGATGGAACAAAGAAGTCAATATTATTATACATTTTATAATTACAGAGAAAAATTTCTTGCAATCAGTGAATTAAGAAAGTTCAACACTAGGATAATAAGAGAGGGACCATGGATCTGACTTCAATCTATTTGGTATTAATATTCAACTTCAGCCCTAGTCCTAATCAAAATGTTTGAGAGAGCCAAGAACAAGGAGATACTAAACAATCAGGTTGTTAATATCCTGGCTTACGCAGTTGGCCAAGCTGTGTAATGTCAGTAGGCTTCATATTAACCAACTTGATGATGTGCAGATATAAAACTGTGAGTAGGTCTTGAAATATTTCTATGGAGGAATGTCACATATTCATTTGACGTATCCAATATTAAGACTCTCCTGTTTCAAGACAGTATGCTAGTTGCTGGAAGTATACACTCTTTGAAAAAGGCAAGATTCACTTAAACATCCAGTTGCCTACCCACTTTGCTGTGTAATGGGCATCCAAAACGTAACACATTTAAAATTGGGCCACTAATATTTACCCAAAATCTGCTCTTTCTCCCTCCCTTCTTTCCTATCTAGGTTAATGGCAATGCCATCTTTCTACCTGTTCAGGCCAGAAACCTTAGAATTACACTTACCCCTCTCTTTCTCTCATACCTCTTATCAATGTATCAGCAAAACTTGTCTTCATTTTCAAAATATACCCAGAGTCCAGTCTTTTCTCCCCATCGCCACCGCTATCATCATCTCATGCCGGAAGTACCATAAAAGACTTTCTCTGGTCTCCTGGCTTCAGTTCTTGTGCCCTTCATTCTATTGTCTACACAGTGGCTCACCCCTCACAAGCAGTTGCTCCTTTGACCACCCTTTGGATCCAAGCATGACCCCACCAGCAGTGCAGTCTGTCTCAAAAGGACAAACGTGGGGAAAGAAGTATTTAGGCCTGAAAATAGGACTTGAGCAAGAATTTCCTGAGTAAAGAATTCTGAGGTCCTGGAGACCTGATGCCTGGCCTACAAGTGGGGACATAGACTTTGACCCCAAGAGAAAGAGCTGGAAGAGTCCTAGGACAGGGGCCTGTAAGGTATGAAGGGCCCTACATGGCCCATAGCAGTTTTCTATTGCTGCTATAATAAATGAACACAAACTTGATAGCTTAAAACAATACACATTTATTCTTTTATAGTCGTGGAGATCGGTGTGAAATGAATTTCACTGGACTGAAATCAAGGTGTCAGCAAGGCTGAACCCCTCTGGAGGTTCTAAGGGGAGAATCTGCTTCCTTGCCTTTTCCATATTTTAAAGTAGCATTCCTTAGTCGCTGACCCCTTCCTCCATCTTCGGTATATTATTTTGCCTAAATGGTCATATTGCCATCTTCTGTAGCCAAATCTCATGATTATATTAAGGGCCCTCCAAGGTAATCCAAGATAAGCTCCCCATCTCAAGATCCTTAATAACATCTGCAAAGCACAATGCAGGGAAGCAAAAAACAAAACAAAACAAAAAAAAAACAACAAAAAACAAAAAACAAAAAAAAAACAAAAAAACAAAAAAAAAAAAAGCAAAACAAACAAAAAAACAAAAACCAGGAGACCAAGAAGCAGCAGCCAGGGGAGACCTTTGGAAAGTCAAGTGGAAAAATGTTTTAAGAAGTTAATGACCAAGTTGCATAAAGTCTGCCCAGAGGTGAAGTAAGAGAGGATTTAGAAAGTGTTAGATTTAGGAATATGTTGGTCATGGGAACCTAAGTGAAAGTAGTTTCAGTGGAAAGCAGGATGAAGGCTAGATGGCAGTGAACGGAGGAGGAAATGGAAAATTTCCCATTTTTTCCCAATAAATGTAGCTTAAACATTTTTTTCTAATGTTTATTTTTTGAGAGAGAGAGACAGAGTGCAAGCAGGGGAGGGGCAGAGAGAGAGAGGGTGACACAGAATCCGAAGCAGGCTCCAGGCTCTGAGCGGTCAGCACAGAGCCCGACACGGGGCTCAAATCCACAAACCGTGAGATCGTGACCTGAGCCGAAGCCGGACGCTTACCGACTGAGCCACCCAGGCGCCCCTCAATAAATTTAACTTTAAATGAAAGAAGGAGATGGAGTAGTCGCTAGAGAAAACTCAGGGGTCACAAGATAGTCTTTGTTTTGTTTTTTAAATATAAGCAAGGATTGAATACATTATTAGACTGAGAGGCAAGTGCTGTATAATTAGAAAAGCAGAGGATAGCAAAAAGAAGAAAGATGGCTGACAAAGTGAGGCTTCAGAGGAGGAGAATGGGATCTAGGGCACAGTGTCACAGGGAGAGAGGGACTTAGGCAGAAGGAGGTGGAGACATAGCTCCCCTGCTCTGACAGGAGGCAAGGTGGGAATGATTGGTACTGATAGAGCTAAGTTTATAGGTGGTGGGAGGAAGTGCACAGAGTTCCTATCTGACAACCTCAATTTATCTGAAGGAGGAGTGCCAGTTAAGTATCAAGAAGTATCAAGAACCTGAGTTAACAACATTGGGAACAAAGCTATGAACTTGAGATAACGATCATTTAATCAAAATTGAAGGTCAGACTATCCCAAGTATTGTAAGGCTGTGAAGCAACTGCAATTCTCATATATTGATGATGGGACTGTAAAATGGTGCAACACTTTGGGAAATAGTTTGGTAATTTCTTAAACAGTTAAACGTATGCCTACCCTACAACCCAGCTATTCCACTCCTGTAAGTATTTACCCAAGAGAAACAAAGCATATATGCCTGGGAGGATAGGCGAAAGGAACTAGCCAAGCCTGCAGACAAGGAGTCCTGCTGTCTCTACCACTCCAGCCAGAAAGAGACATCATCCACTTGGCAACTTACTAGATGGACCAGTTGGATCAGAACTCCTGTCATTTAGGAGTGGGGGGGGGGTGAAAAAGAAAATGGGGAGAGGAGAACTGTATCTTATAGCGTAATTTCCTGACCTTTTAACCAGCTGTGAGACCTTGGCCAAATTCTCACCTGTACAACGGGAAGTCATAGTAATAACTACCTTTTAGGGTTGTTGTAAGGATTAAATGAGTTAATATATAAAGGCCCAACAGTGCCTAGCACGTGGTAGCATCACAAATGCCTTGTCTGCTACTATTTTGACTG